GTACAGACGGGTTGTGGCTGCGAGGCACTCAGGTGTATATCCCCGAGTCTCCCAGTCTGCGGACTGAGATCTGCCAGTTGGCTCATGACCATCCAAGTGCTGGGCACTTTGGTCAAGCCAAGACCCTGGACTTGGTCCAGCGGCATTACTGGTGGCCAGGAATGCGACGAGAAGTACACCAGTACATCGATACTTGCCTGGTTTGTCAACAGGTTAAGTACCCTCGTCATAAGACCCCAGGCTTATTACAGCCACTGGGCATTCCTGAGGAGCCATGGACAGAGTTGTCCATGGACTTCATTACACAACCGCCAAAAACTAAGGGAGGTCATGATGCTATCGTCGTGTTCGTCGATAGACTGACCAAAATGGTCCGCCTTGCAGCTACGACCACCGAGCTCTCCGCAGAAGGAGCAGCTGACCTGTTGGTGCAGAATGTGATAAGGCACCACGGCCTCCCCTCTCAGATAGCGTCCGACAGAGACGTTCGGTTCACTTCCAGGTTTTACCGGTACCTGGCCGAGAGGTGGAAGATCCAGCTCAACATGAGCACTGCGTACCATCCACAGACGGATGGCCAGACCGAAGTCATGAATCGGGTTCTGGAGGATTACTTACGCAGTTATACGCGTTCTGACCATGACGCGTGGGATGAACTGTTAGCCATGGCCGAGTTTGCAATGAACAACTCGAAAAAAAGTTCCACCCAAGAAACCCCGTTCTATCTGAATTACGGGAGGCACCCAAAGAGTCCCTTAGCTCTTGGTGTGCAAATTCGGAAGCCATTAAAGGGTTATGACAATCCGAATGCCCGCGGCTTGGCAGTGGCCATTGAAAGGGCGCAGCAGCCTTATTTGAGGCAGTCTGGTACACCCCTCGTGGAGGGATTACCAGCAGTGACACGATTTGATCACCGTATCCAATCAGCGCTGAAAGAGGCCAGGGCGTGCTTAGAGAAAGCACGAGATAGGCAGTCAAAGCATGCTGACCGCCATCGGAGAGAGGTGTCGTTTAGTAAAGGAGATGACGTCCTCCTTTCGACACAGCATATTACTCTCAAACACCCTGGAACTCGAAAACTATTACCGAGGTGGATTGGGCCCTTCACCATCCTCGACCGGATAGGGTCTGTCGCATATCGACTAGAACTCCCGGACAGCATGCATAGGATACATCCAGTATTTCATGTATCGAAGATTAAGCCTTATAAGGCAAGTGGCAGAGTACAACCACCCCCAGTACCTATCGAGATCGAAGGTGAACTGGAGTACGAAGTTGAACGTATCCTTGATAAAAGGATTAAAAAGCGTGGGAGACGCAAAAACTATATTGAGTACCTTGTCAAATGGCTGGGATATGGACATGAGCATAACAGCTGGGAATCAGCAAAGTCAGTTGCAAATGCACAAGAATTGGTTCAAGCATTTGAAAATGGCAGAACACCTGTGATGCGAATGCAAACTGCATGAAGTACGGGATGTACATATTGAAACATGCTCATGTGTGCTTATGCTTTTGACAGGTTCTCTTGCGCTGGGCCCAGAAAAACACTGGGTATACTGCCCCCCGTGCAAGGTCGCAGTTTGGAGACATGAACGCCATGTCCGTTGCGATCCTCAACGGGGAGAGGTTGGAGACCGCCGACCCCTACGTGCCATTTCCCCGTGCGCCTGAGCGTGCACGCGGACGTGGGCGACGGCGGGGTGCCGCACCGGGCCGATCTGTACCGGCGTGGGCTTTTGGTGGTACTCGGCATCGCGGTCGCCGATGAAAGGCCGGGAGGTCAAACATTTCCAGCCACTTGGCTGAGGAAGAGTTTTAATGAGGGTTGTGAAGGCCGGGACGGTCATGTAAAACACCCACTCTTTCTCTTCATCCAAAACTGTTTTGTGTGTTGTGTTTTGTTAACTGGGCATGTGGCAAATCGCACAGCCAGTTCCACCAACATACATACAATGTTTCTGCTCCCGTATCCACTTATACTCGGACGAGGACGCCCCTCTCCCTGAGGGGGACGAATGTTACGCGCACCAGCCTGATGTGGGAGACGTCCTACTAATGGCCCTTGGTGTGGGGACGCCCTGCCCAAGGCACGTACTATTCCTCACCCACTGTAACCTTTATCCATATTAGGATACGGGAGTAGGAGGGGTGGTCCCGCCTAGGTGCCCTGTAAGGACCTAGGTGCCCGGCGAGGCGGGTCCGCGGCTCAAAGAGGGCAGGAACCCCACACCCACATCCTATTCGTAACAGCTGACCCGACTGCCCCTTGGACTGCCGAAACGAAATTTGGATTTACTGGCACTCCAACAGACTATCGGCGGTTGGAATACACAGGCCCAAGCGATCCAAGCCAGATGGAATTTTGATGTTGTAAAGGTTGAGGTGCAAGGCTAGCTCCATGAGCACAAACCCAAGTCATATATCAAGCAAGAGCTCCCTCCCTCTATGGAGAAGCATGGGTAACTTTGGTGGAGGCGGGGGGAGCGGGTGCAAGTGGGTGTTGGTGATGTGATACCTTGAGTGGGAACCAGACAACTGGAGCGTGAACAAGGGTGCGGTGAAAGGATAACTTGGGCCTGCATAACACCCCAGAGCATAAGTGGTTTCTTCAACATAATGTCTATTTTTATACTTTGATTAAGGGGATGCTTTGATATTGTAAGAATTACTAAGATTGGTGGGAGCCTCTGGGAGCCTTTGGGGTGTTGCCCAAGGGTGCGCTGAGGGGATAGTGACTGGTAGAACCCAGAGATTTGCCCGTAGGACTGGATTTGTCGTAGACCAAAAGGGTCTCCCAGGACTGATAGAACTTTTGTTTTGGACCTTTTATAATGTCGTATGTGATATTGGACCTTGCTGTATAAATAAAGCGGGGGTGTGCAGTTTAGCGCCCCCTGGTCTGTAATACAAGTTGGTGTTGCAACCGGTATACCAAGCAGGCCGCCTCGCGAGCCGAGTTTGGGATCTGGAGGTTGGGCGAGTGAAATTCCTGTGGGAAGGAAGCTTTGCATCTATGTGAGGGGTGCGTTACCCCTATGTAAATACTATTGTGGGATTTCAGCTTGCACATGTCTCTTTCCGCTGCGCATACCCCAAAGAGTTATGCCATATACCGGCGTCGATCTTTGCATTGGTCATTCATTAAATACAAGATGCAATCACACAATAATAAAATCAATTATTCCATTGTCCAATAATTACATATTGATTCTTTGACCACTCAGAAGTATCATAGATTCTTAAACATCATCATCAAATCCAATCGCATTATATTGCAAGCATTGATAGTGGTTTTGCATTCTTATTTTCAGTTTTCCTTCAGCCCATTGTTAAAAATGCCTTTGATCTCCTTTTTAGCATACAGTTAGTGACTCTGATGAGACAAATGCATCACAACTCTCTTCTTTTGGCTTTTGTGACTATTGTCAAAGCAAATATGATATTTTTATAGTAAGTATCGAAAAATTACAATTACAATTTGGTTTGTGGAGCAGGGGATGAGGGGTAACTATTTTAATTTGAGAAAATTGCTTGCTCACTGTCAACAGATCTTTGGCTTTGGTTCCTCAGTTTGTCTATTACCAACACCTCAATATTTCTCACATATCAATGTCAGTGGTATGTACTCAGTTTTTTTGAGTGTGATTGACAGCGTGATTGTGATTGTGATTGGAGCGCACACATGCATTTCAAGTAGCGAACCCACGTCGAGGGAAAAGAAAGAATAAAAAAATGGTCGGGGCACCCCATTGTAGACAATATTCTATTATGGACACACCCTCCGTGTGGAACTATACGTAGTCCACAAAGGGGGGTGGTCGCCCGTATGCATATGCCATGAAGGTCTATGAAGGGCATATGCCCCATGAAGGTCGCATCGTATCCGCCCTTGCCCCCGCGCCAGATACCCGGCGTATTCAAACCCTGAGCGCCCTGGCCCTGCACCAAGTCCCGGGCTGCCGTGAGGCACTTGTGCCTTGCCCACCCAATATCAAAGGCAACAAGGGCTGGCGCACAAAAATCAAAAGATCTCACCAGCCCCAAGCACTTGCCGCCAACTTGCAGCACCCACCACGGCATAAAGACCGGCAACCGCAGTGCTGCGACCTAGCATGTGACCTTTCCAACCTTGCTCCATGCACCGTTCACAATGGACTGCCATCGATGGCATCAGGCGATGAACGTCTATGTTCCACTTGAGCCCACCATGGAATCGCTACGCCTCCTGACCTAAGCAGCCCCTACCAAGCAAGTGCAAAATGGCCGCCTGCCTTGATGCATTCTGCGGTGCGCCGCCACGGCCCGCTCACTAGAATTTCTGCCTTTGGGAGTGCTGGTTGCTCCGTTGGATACAAGGCATGTGCATGTGGCCTTTTGGCCTTCGCTGCTTGCGAAGGAGAGCTTCTGCCGCTATCCAATGCCGCTTCATATGCCTCAACAGAACATGTTCGATCCTCGGTGCCTGAGTGTAGGCGGGTCGCCAGATGGGCAGTGCCGTCTGTTGTGTTTCTCACCCCATGACTTGGTGGGGGAGGGCGCCCCACTCGTCGCCCATGCGCAGTGCCACGGTAGGCGATCTCCATGCCGTGGTTGGTGTCGACGACGTGTGCCGGGGCCGGGGAGGATCTTGTGATCTCCGGGCCCAACCCTTGCCTCCTTCCCTTTTGGGTGGCCACGGCAAAGCGGCCTCACGGCAGCCCACGGCTTCGGCGCAGGCGTGGGGCGCTCGCGGCCCGAATGTTGTGGGGGAGTTCTGAATCTGGCCAAGGGGCGGTGGCCGATACGATCCATCCTGCGTCAAGCATACGGGTCGATACGATCCATCCCGCGTCGAGCATACGGGCGACCACCCCATTCGCGCACTCCATACAGTTCCGCCCATCCCACCGCGGACAAAAATGTACTGGCGCACTTAAGCCCACATTCACCCCGCAGCCGCAACAGAGCGTCACTCGGCCAGGGCGCCAACCGACGGGCACAGCGGCCGCCGGGAGCCGATGGAGAAAGAGCTCAAGTTCGAAACCCACCCCGCCAGCTCTCTGCGGGTGTGGCTGTTCGAAGACGTCGAGAACATAGAGTAGGCGCTACCCTATTCCCCGATCGATCGCCGGCCTCGACCCAAACCCCTTGTGTGCGCCGCCTTGGCGCCAAGTGGGGGCTCTTTTTGCACACGTTGTTTCGATTTCGGACTCCCGCTAAAGTGCGTCGGGCCAATTGTTCCAGGACGGATTCTCAGTGGGTCGCCGCCTTGTGCTTTGGGCGTCGATCGCCTACGGCTGTTTTTTTGCGTGGGATATTTGTATCGGATTGGCGATTTTGATCCGCGCGTCTTCGGCCGCAGGGAGGTCCGCGAGCAGGTCGTGTCGGGGAAGCTTCAGCCGGAATTCGCGTTCTTCAACGCCCAACTGGTGGGTGCTGATTGGACCGGGACATTTTTTTGTGCGCCATCGGCTCCTCCAGTTGGGGCACGATTGGCGGGCGCACAGTCGGTGTTTGCGTGGAGAGGATAGGGCATTGTGCTGCAGGATGGTGATAAATTCCTTGTGCAGAATTTGCCTGTACATATATAAAGAACAATGGAACCCCGGCACGTTGGCAGGCAATAAGGGGCATCTGCCCCTCCAATGTGTGCGCATCCAACATATTCGCATCCAATGATTGTTCGTGCTTGTTTTCATTTCTCTGCTGGTGAATGGTAGTCCCTAGTAGAGGGCCAAGTTTGGAGAGGAAATTGAATTCGAGGATGGACAAATGTCTAACGCCTTGTTGTTCGAACAGTGTGATCCTATCGATGTGCTGAATGGTCCCCTTCTTCCTTATCTGAGCCTGAACCCTGAACCCTGAATTCCAATTCTGGGAATTTTGGATGGTGCACATCCTTGGATGGAATATATCCATTTGGATTCAACAGGCATGCGCCAAATGACTGTGGGCCAACATTAGTGTTCCTGCATTGTTCATGAACTTCTGAATCCGTTTTATTCTGTCCTTACATCGATTCTTCCATGTTATGTTCTCAGCTGTTCTCTGTTTCTTGTTTATCACCAGGTGGCTGGCCTCTATGTGGTGCACCTAGCTGCCTGCAGAGCCCTGTGGTCAGAGACCGCAGGCACCAGGAGGACCAGGAGCCTACACACAGAGCTTGTCTGCAACATTTCGGGCTCAAAGCATGTGGGTAACTGTGATACTTGTCTTTGTTTCATTGCCAATTCTTGGCTGCTTGTTGTGCGTGCCCCTGGGCTATTGGCATTGTCCTTGCTCTGTGGGTTGTGTAGCTTACCACAGTGAAGGGGCAGATGTGCCTTTCACAAGAAGCTCTGGTTGATAAATTTGACATGTCCAGGATGGCACGTGGCTTGATTTGATGTTTCACACAGAATGTAACATGGAACATATCAGTCATTTTCATTTGACGGGAATTGCCATATGTTTAAAATCTGGCCTTGGTGTTTGAGGACACAAAGCTCCATCCACACAGTTTGTTCTAGATTACTTCTTCATCAGAAAGGGCCGATTGTGAGTTGGCTAGCGTTTGGGGATTGCCCAAAGGGCATTGGAAAGAAACAGCCCGCATCCACTGGCTACTGGGGACTTTGCACCCTACCGGATTTCTGCATTCACCAAGATTTGCATTGGGTCTTCCTCACTCATGGTGAACATGAATGTTCGATTGATGCATGCAGACTTCTTGCATTGGCAGAGATTCTCACTTTCACTTTATGACATTTTCCTTCTGAAGAAACCACATTCTCTTGCAACCAGGAACAAGTGACTGCCATGGCTGAGCTCTTGTATGCTCCCTATGATGTTTATCCCTGTGCATCATTCTGCAACAGATTGTATATTTCTGTGTGCTTTTTGAGCGCTTAAGTACTGTTGCTAATGCGTGGAATCTCTCTGGCAGATAGCTTCAAGCCTCCAGCGATTTGGCATCAGTGATGGCACGAAGCACCTGCTGGTGGCGCGGTTCGATGGCACAGCAAGCGATGTAGGTAGGGGCACGAAAGGGAGTCAGTCAGATGCATTGTGCCTGTTGTGACTGGATTCCATGGCACCAACAAAGGGATAGTTTTTCTTGTTTCGAATGGTTCAAACTCCAAAGTAAACATAAAATCTAATGTTTCTTATATTATTCTGACTCAAGCGAATAGCCTTTAGTTCCCAAACTGCACCATTGATCAACAAGGCGAAGCAGATTTTACAAGTTTGGTCTGACGGACATTGCCCAGTGCATCAGTGGCCCCCACAGTATCTCAACCTCACACTGGCTCAACATTGAACGGCCGCCATGTGCTGTCAGAGATTATCCAAACATCATGACAGAATATTCCTTCCCCGACCATAAGTTTGGTATGCAGTTTCCAAGCAGGAAAGAAAAATCTTACACAATGGCAGGCGCTACCCACCCGCCACCCGTTCTTTGCAATATTATGCATGATCCTTCTCTTTGCAGAAGATTGTGCAGAAATATCTGAGCGTCATGGGGAAAAGCGCAACCAGAAACCAAGATTGCCTCCAACAAGAAACTGATTTGCTGTATTATACTTGCCAAAACGTCATTGCACGATCACAGCACTACATTTTTACCCTCTACACTTATGGACAGTACAATCAGACCCAGAAACTGAAGTTTGTAGCGTCTCAATAAGGGACCCAGCGACAGACCTCCTAACTATGCAGGAAACGAATTTTGGTGTGAGCGAGTGCATGAATCGAAGGCCATGATTTGTTGCAGTCATTTTCACGGAAATCTGTGTACAGCCAACAATGATTGCTGTCAAATCTAGCGCACATCACAGGGCCTTGTGCGACCTGTGTATGCTGCTAGAGGGGAGAGGTGCCTGAATTGTGTCCTTTTCGTCCTTGATAAACTGATTCTTATAGAGGTTGGCCTCCCTGTAGCATCGTGTCTTTGTCTCAGGCTAACTGCAAGTTGGAATGTCAAAAACAGCTTAAATAAAACTCATCTTTTCACTGTAGCCAATATTATCCACCTTCAGCCAAAGAAAGAAATAGCGATCCAGGATAGTTTGTGATTGCAGTGGAATGACCTCCCTGGAAGCCAGGCATGCTTCCAGTTGAGTGCTTCACAGCTGTAGTGACACAATGTTACACCAAAGACTGATGCATCGTGTTTGAGGCTCGTCAGTGTGGCAGTTTCATTTTGATTGGACGTTTTTGGGTGCACACTAGCATGTGCAGGAACAAATTTCATCTTTACGCTGTATTTGCTGATGTTGCTGTGGGGCAGCTGGTGTGCACCCTTGGGTTGAATTGCTCCTGTGGGGCAAATTCTATCCAGGTTAAAACCACCCTAAACTGCTGAAATTCTTGCACCATTTTCGATCCACATGTTGAAGATGGGGCCAAGCCATTTAGCTGCAACAGTGGTCAGGTTTGTCTTGGGACCAGTAGCAAGTTCCGCTTCATGCAATTGGACATTTTGGTTTTTGGCCTGTTGAACTTCAAGCTCCAAGCTACTGGGAGAGGCGAGCTGTGATTGGTTGTCACAGGGTGATGTCTTGCGTTCGTCGCTGAAAGGAAAGCAGGTGGAGCTCGAGAAACTAGCCTCAATGCTGGACGAGACGCAGGTCAAAAAAGTGAGACAGGGGCCACTACATGTTTGTTCCGTTTTGCTATAGTTATAATCTGCCACCATGTGCAATTGCTTCTGCATTGTGTTGTCAGTTTGCATCGACCTTGGATTCTGTGGAAAGTCTGACAAAGCACTGGAGGGTGGTAAGTATTCAGTTCTGTGTGCATCGGTTACTGCGCCATTCACTCCTGCTGCCTGTGCACCACCACACTGGTGGGTATTGGCTCAAATGCATTTGTGGACTTTAGCCATTCAAGCCTTGAGGCTGATAGGAAGTGAACGATTTTGAATGACAAACTCTTGCCCAGTACTTGTGAACATAATGTGCTTATTAAACCAATAGGTGAGGCTGCTCATACCAGATTCCATAACAGTGGTAGGTTTTATTGCGGCTCGCTGTCAGGGTTGGTGTGGCAGGCTCCCCTGCAGCTCGCTCCAAATGCCTTTCACCAGTTTGCAGTCTTCCTTCAGCCTGTATTAGGAGCAGAGTACTGGAAAATATGTTGCTGCTGACATTGCAAAGTGGGGGACTAGTGGACATCAGCAGCAAAGTACTGCAAATTGCAGTGAATACTGTGAAGCATTGCAAAGTTCTGTAACTTCAGAACTGAGTGGAATGGGGCCAATGGCACATTTGCCCAACAGGTGTTCAGGTTGCTGCATGGGAACTGTCACCTGAGTATGGGTAGCTGCTAGATGATTATGCACCACGAGAATGTGGATATTGAGATGTAGGTGTACAAATTGGCCAAATTCTGCTGTGTTGCATCTCTCCCAGAATCAGGACACTCCCCTTGAACCTGAAAGACAACGATGGGCCTTTTGAGTCTGCTCTG